TCTGCCCTATGTCAATTCATCCAGAGGAGAAACTAGTTTAAAGAGAAAACTTTAGAAGCATAAATTTTCTGCTCTATCTAGAAAAGGGAAGAATGGGTGAAATTCTTGGATAATGGGGGATCAAGAGGGACAGGTAGTTGGGCTGGCTGGAGGAGGCAGTCAGGAGGAAATGGGACAAAAAAAGGTCATTCCGGGTCAGACTTGTGGAGCAGTACTAGAAAGAATGGAGTGAGGTAGGTTTCTGAAAGGCACATGGTCTACAGTGATCACTCAAGAAATGGCAGTTAACCCAGGAAGACTTGGTGAGGGCTCAGGGCAGGCTACAAAATAAATCACTCGCCGTCCTCTACAGGCAAGGGCCTGGGCCGGAGAGAGAATGGCATCACTCAGGCCCTCAAGGTGACACTGAAGCAAGATACCCATGGGGTAAGCCTGGGAAGTGATCAGCATGAATGGGAGAGGGCACCCATGAGGGCCAGTGGGCAGTGCTCGGACTGTGACTTTCATTTATTATTTACCTGGAGGTGGGACACGACCCTGCCAAGGAGTTTACAAACCACTGGTGGAGTGATCTCTTCAACAAGACTGCAGCCAGCTTGGTAGTGGACACACGGAAGGTATGAGCTTATCAGGTAGATTGAGGAGTCAAGTGTATGTCTGGGATAGGGCAGGGAGGTTCAGCTTTCTCACTCATGCTTTCCAACAGGATGGAGTGCAGATAAGGCGCCTTTCCAAGGAGACCACCCAGCGTAATCACCACAAGCCCAATTTGCTGTATCAGAAGTTTGTGAAGGTACCAGAGTGAGAGCTCCAGCTCTTTATTGCTCCCTTATTTCCCCAGGTCCTGATCAATTGCCTTGTGTGCCCAACTAATTTTCAGGATATCCTAGCACACAGAGATCCCGTGTCCACCTGTGCTGTGCTTACACTAAGGCCCATGCCCCCATCCAGAATCGAGATGTGAAGGTTCCAGGGACCCTGCCATCTGCTGGGGAGGCAGCACTGAATGGTGGCGGGAGGCCATCATTTAGTTAGGAGCTGCTGGAGTGAGATGTGTTGGTGTCTAATTCAAAAAGGTTTAGAAGCCAGAAGAGTTCTGAGAGGTTATCTAGTCTGTCGTTACATATGTGAACCAAAGGGTGAAAACGGGCTACTAAAGAACCCACAGCTGGCTAGGAAAGGAAAAAGAATAGAACCCAGGCTTTCCAGCTTCTTCCACTCTAGTACAGAAAGCCAGCAGTTAGTGAGCGTGGGTTCTGTGCCGGGGGCTTTCCAAGTTACCTAGCCATCCTTCCCAGTTCCTCCGCTTGTTGGCATCTACTCTTTTAGCTCAGGCAGTCCTTGCCTCTTTCAGAAACTCTTTGCCTCTGCTCTCATTCCCCACCATAGTCAGCTGACCTACAAAACATCCATAGGCTTCTCTCTGAAACAAATTATATCGTGATCCTTTTTGTTTGTTTTTGGTTTTTGAGATGGATTCTCTGTGTAGTCTTGGCTGTCCTGGAACTCACTCTGTAGACCAGGCTGGCCTCAAATCAGAGATCCACCTGCCTCTGCCTCCCAAGTGCTAGGATTAAAGGCCTGCAATACTAGTGTCTGGCTCCACCCATTTCTAATGAGATTGGCTTCCATGGCCCTTTAAGCGTCTTGTCTCACTTCTACCTCTTCTCTCTGGGACAGAAGCAGGTCAGTTTCTTCTCCTTCAAGAAGCTGTGTGTTCTGGGCTGGAGAGATGGCTCAGAGGTTAAGGGCACTGACTGCTTTTCCAGAGGTCCTGAGTTCAATTCCCAGCAACTACATGGTGGCTCATAGCCATCTATAGTGAGATCTGATGCCCTCTTCCAGAGTGCAGGCATATATGCAAGCAGAACACTGTATCTGTAATAAATAAATAAATCTTTAAAAAAAAAAAAAAGGCTGTGCTTTCCCATCTGCCCTTTCTCTCTGCCCTTTACCTGCCAACCATTTCTTGACTTTCAGATTGAGATTATACATAAGCACCTTCTAGAAACCACTCCCAAACCCTGTCCTGAGTTATCTGTTGGAAAGGCAACATTCATCCTAACTGCCCATGTAATTACATCTGGACTGGACCCATCTCATTATTTTTGTGTGTGTGCGTGTACACATGTTCACATATATGGTACACATGTGTGCAGATGCTCATGCATGTGTATGCATATAGAGGCCAGAGGTTGACATTAGGTATCTTTCTTGATCTCCACCTTATATACTGAACTAGGGTCTCTCACTTGAATCCACTCACCGATCCGTCTAGTTTAGTTTCCTAGCTAGGTTGCTTTCCCCTCCACCTCATGCTAGGATTACAGGTGAGTAGCCATGCCTGCCCAACATTTCTGTGGCGCTGGAGATCTGCACTGAGGTCCTCATGCTTGACGGCAAGTGTTGTTACCAGCTCAGCTGTCTCCCCACCTACCCCGTGTCACTGTCTGTCCTTCTCCTATATCCTGAGTTCTGTTCATTAGTTAAACAGACGCTGGGACTAGGAGTGCTGCCTTTATTGTCAGTGACTGGCACCCGCTCCACTGTGAAAACTTAACTCGGAACCCTTCCCCTTGCCCACCCTGCTTGTTCTACAATCAGCCAGCTGTGAGCCAGAGAAGCCCTGGCTGCTCCACTCCTGATACCTGGCTCATCTCCTGCCCAAACTGAAATATGCAGGCTGCACGGCTGAGCGGGAACAGTGGTGGAGGCTGTCAGATTCGTGCCTTGGGCACTGAGTTCTGAGGGGCTTCTGAAAGGGAGGAGCGGTGGTAACAGTGTGGGGTTGGCTTCATCCATCTCCGTGATCCTCTTCCTCCAGACAGCCACGCTAACCTCTGGCGAAGAGAAGCCGGACAGAGACTCGGAGAACAGCAGTGATGATGAAGACCATGAGCCCACACCTCCAAAGATGTGAGACTTGATTCTGAAGTGAGGACATGTGGGAGGGGATGCCTTGGGATCTTCAGTGAATGAACAAGGAAACCTAATGCCTGACTGGGCTCTTCAGAGGGGGTTGTAGAATTAATTAGATTCTGTTAATCTTTATATTCTTAGAACTTCAAAAAGTGCCAGGTTATGAACAAGAAATAGTGAAGATGTACATTTTTTAGACAGAAAAAACAACCAAGCCTTTTCACCATCTTGTGACTTGTCATCTGCCCTTACAGTCTGACGGATGAGATGCTACTCAAAGCTTGTGAGGGGCGAACAGCACACAAGTAAGTTGTGGTCGCTTTCTGGGTCTCCCATCTTTTCTGCCTGTCATTGGAACACCTGTGCCACCTCCCACTTATTTTCATTATTCCAGGGGACTAATCCTGTTGTTGACACATTTGGGGTGAAGTCCGGCAGCTCCCCTCCCTGTTCCCAGCTTGCTCTGTAACACCCGTACTGACCTGGACCCATCTCTTAGGGCTGCCCGGGCTGGAATCACAATGAAGGCTAAGCTTGCTCGCCTGGAGGCCCAAGAGCAGGCCTTCCTGGCTCGGCTCAAAGGCGCGAAGGATGTGGGCACCTCTCAACCACAGACTGACAGGGAGCCCTCCAAAAACAAGGAAAAGAAGAGGAAGCAGGAGGAGGAGGAAGAGGCTGCAACAACTGAAAAGAATGTAGGTGAGGAGCTCCTAGAACACACTGACCAGAGCTTTAGGAAAAGCAGGAAGAAGAAAAGGAGGCGGAAAGATGAGAGAGAGGGAATGGCTGGAGGAAGTGGGGAGGAAGAGGCTGAAGGAGCAAGTGAGCCTGGAGAACTGAGCACAGAGCAATCGGATCAGTCTCCTAGGAAAAGGAAGAAAAAGAGGAGGCAGCACCATGAAGAGGGGAAGATGGAAGTCTGTGATAAAGGATGCAGAGATGTGACAGGCAGGCCAAAGGCAGTGGACAGTGGAGCAGGCACAGACCCATGGAGAAGCAGCAAGAAGCCATGGCAGTGTGGGGAGGACTTGGACACCCAAGATGAAGAAGGGAAGGATGGCCTAAGAGAAGGAGAGAGAAAAGTCAGACGAAGCAAGAAGAGACAGCAGTGTCGTGAGGTGGTGGTCTTGGATGTAAGCAATAAGGATGATGATGGCAGGACTTGGGAAGTTGAGAATGAAGGCAAGAGAAGTCAGCCACACCCAAAGGAGAGAGCCAAAAAGAAGAAGCAGAAGAGGGACTGAAGGCCTACAGTGTAGCTCTGCTGAATCCTTTTCAGGGGTAGCCTGGGTTTGGGCAGGGTTTCTTCATCCCCTCTGCAAGTGGCTCAGGAGCACGGGTCTGCTGAGGAGAGCCAAAGCATTCAATGCTAGCTGAGGGGGTGGACGTCCCCTGTACAACTTCCTGTCCCAAAAGTATAAACCCTGGTGTGCCTAGCAGCTCACTAGCTAAAGGATGGTGGAAGAGGACTCAGGACAGAGGAGTCTTCATTTGAAGACGTGTCTGCTAAGTCTGAAAATGGTAGACTTACGTGAAGAGACTTTTTGTTTTTGAGACAGGATTTCTCTAATATAGCTCTAGTTATACAGAGATCCACCTGCCTGTACCTCAAGAGTGCTGGAATAAAAGGCCTGTATCACCATACCCTGCATAATGTCTTTATTTTTAAATACTGTGAAGATTAAGAAAAACATACATTTAGATGTGTGGGCTGGGTTAGCCTTCCAGACTGCCTGTTTCTAATCATGATTAAATGAGAGCTTGGGCCCTAAGCTTATAGGTCATTCCCAGTTGACAACATTTCTAGCATGAGAAGGTCTGAACACAACTTAGCCTTTGAAGACTTTTGAAGAAGTTCTTTCTGTTAGCCCTTTGGGGTCTTGCTACAATACTAAGCTGAGTTTGTTTGGAGGTACCATCTACCTCTCTGTGTCTTTATCACAAATAAGGAAGCATCATTCCTGGGTAAAGGCTATCACACCTGATGTAGCGATGGAGTTATTTCCCATTGCTTACAAATGCCTGGTCTGTTTCCCCAAAGAAAGTGTAACCCACTGATAATTAAGGCCAGAAAATTCCAGTTTGCAGAGAGAAGGTACCAAGTCTTTATTAGAAACCTGCCTGCCCACCTCCCTTACTGTAGACGGTAGACACACTCTGTGTCAGGGTAGGATGGCAGATTCAGCTGGTACTTCTTTTCTAGAGCAGGTGGTACAAAACGACCCCCCAGGTAATGATATCGGCCAGTAAACTGGGCTGCAGACTTCTTGGGTGCTGTCAGTGAGATGAGTAAGTCTGGTTGGATTCCTCCCGGGTTTCCCTTCTCTACATCCCATCCTGAAGAGAGAAAGTAGTATGAGGAAGTACAGAAGGCCTAGTCCTAGAGAAGGGGGAAACTCCCAATCCCGGTACTATCAGGCTCGAGTTTTCCCACAGGGCCAACATGAACCTTGATCCCCGGCCCTAGTGTGGGACATGGAAAGGTACATTCAGATTATTTTAGACCTGGTCTATACTGTGGATCAAGAATCCAGTCCCCTGGGATCCAGTCCCCCAACCATCTGAGTCCCGGCACCTGAGGGAATGTCGATGCTAGCAATGGGCACAGTAAGTCCACTCAGGACACTCAGGATGCTGTGGAATGGCTCCCGAACATCACCCTTGAAGCTGAAGCCAAAGATGGCATCCACCACCAGCTCATACAGCTCATCAACCATCATGGGCTGTGGGAGGGGCAGGAAGAATGTCAGGAACTGTTGTCACCTAGGGAGGGCTGTCCCTGCACCCACAGACCACAGGGGCATGGATATAACTGCTTCCTAAGGTAGAGAGTAAGATCATTCCTGTTCTGAGTGCCTGCCTGCCCACCTTCCTGCCGCTGGGGAGAAAGGGACTGACAGTGTAGAGGAGCCTGAGACTGGAAGCCAGAAGGGGCCAATTCTGTCTTAGCTTTGCCTTGCTCCAATTCTGTGATTTTGGGCAAACCATTTCTCTGCATGTTGGTATCTTCATCTATAGAATAAGTTAATTCTCTTTTTAAATTTCGGATTTCCCACCCCCAAATCCGTGCATCTACAGAAAAGGGTTAGGGTCTCACTGAGGACCAGATGAGTGTTAAATGCATGCTGGGGGAGACAGCTGTCTGCAGAATAGGGGTGCCTAGAGTGCTAGTGTTGGGAAGCCGTGAAGCACTCAATATGGAGGAGCTCCTGTACCACTGCTACTCAGAGAGCAACTTTTATGGCAGGCAGACACTAGGCAGGCTAGCTTGGTCTGAAAACACGAAGGGAAGGGCAGAGGCAGTACTTACTGGGGAGATGAAGTATCAAGCCACCTACCTCTGGGGGCATTTCACTAAGGAAAGGAATGTCCATTTTCTGACATTGAGTCACTAGCCCAGTGAAGAGTGGTTTGTTAGGTCTTTTGGGGTAATAGATAGTTGGCTGGTAACCCTAATTGAAAAGGAAAGTAGCCATTGAATTTCTGATCCCAGACTCCCTGTACCTTCCCACGAAGACTCCGTTCATATACTCACAAAAAGTTTGAGGTGTCGCGCGCAGACCAGGCCGTCCCCTCCGTTATTCCCGGGGCCACAGATGACCAAGACGGTAGGGGGGCTCCTGGACATGGACGTGGGGGGATAAGCCTGAAGGCAGAGGCGCAAAGGGTCTGGCCGTCACCGCCGTCGGCTCCACCGCGGGAGGCCTCCCCGCCCGTTCCCCACGAAGGCTCTGCACTGGGTCACCTACCTTGGCGATGGCCGTGGCACAGCTCAGCCCGGCCAGCTCCATGAGTTGATCCACGCTGAACTGGTACTCGTTAAATAGCTCCTCGTCCACGGCCCGCGCCTCCTCCTGGCTGAGGGAAGTCCTGGCCTGAGTCCGCCGCCTGGGTGCTGGGGGCGCGGCCTGCCCCGCCCCGCCCCCGTGGGAGAGCGCGGCCGTACCTCAGGTACTTCACCGGCGGGCTCGCCATGGTCTCCGAGCCCCGGCGCTGCGTTCCCCACCAGGTCGGCCCTGCACGGCACACCGTCTGCCGGCCTGCGAGCCGGGGCAGGCGCGAGCCCGCAACCAGCAGCCCGAGCCCAAGCAGCGCCCGCAGCCCGGACATTCGGCACGCAGAGCGCCGCCCGCCCGCCCGGCGCATGCGCAGGGCCCGGCCCGGCCCCCAGCGCCGTGTGCAACGAGCCTTAGGTTCCGAGTCCCGGGCATACCGCGCACCTTGGTTCCGCCTTGCGTTCTCGCCTTTCCCCAGCGCTGTAAGCGTTCATACTTCTTTCTTTTTATTTTTTATTTTTATTTTATTTTTTTAAATTTTGCAATACAATTCAGTTCTACATATCAGCCACGGATTCCCTTGTTCTCCCCCCTCCCGTCCCCCTCACCTTCCCCCCACCCCCCACCCCCCATTCCCATCTCCTCCAGGGCAAAGCCTTCCCTACAGACTGAGTTCAACCTGGTAGACTCAGTCCAGGTAGGTCCAGTCCCCTCCTCCCAGGCCGAGCCAAGCAATCCTGCATAGGCCCCAGGTTTCAAACAGCCAACTCATGCAATGAGCACAAGATCTGGTCCCACTGCCTGGATGCCTCCCAAACAGATCAAGCCAATCAACTGTCTCACCCATTCAGAGGGCCTGATCCAGTGGGGACCCCTCAGCCATTGGTTCATAGTTCATGTGTTTCCATTCATTTGGCTATTTGTCCCTGTGCTTTATCCAACCTTGGTCTCAACAATTCTCGCTTATATAAACCCTCCTCATTCTCGCTAATTGGACTCGCAGAGATCCACCCAGGGCCTAGTCATGGATCTCTGCATCCAGATCCCTCAGTAGTTGGATGAGGTTTCTAGCACGACGATTAGGGTGTTTGGCCATCCCATCACCAGAGTAGGTCAGTTCGGGCTGTCTCTCGACCATTGCCAGCAGTCTGTTGTGGGGGTATCTTTGTGGATTTCTGTGGGCCTCTCTAGCACTTTGCTTCTTCTTATTCTCATGTGGTCTTCATTTACCATGGTCTCCTATTCCTTGTTCTCCCTCTCTGTTGTTGATCCAGCTGGGATCTCCCGCTCCCCCAAGCTCTCTTTCCCTCGACCCTCGCCTTTCACTACCCCCACTCATGTTCAGGCTGTTCATGTAGATCTCATTCCATTTCTCTGTCATTGGGCGATCCCCGTGTCTTTCTTGGGGTCCTGTTTTCCAGGTAGCCTCCCTGGTGACGTGACAGGCTTCGCTCACTACGTAACACAGGCTGACCTCGAACTCAAGCAGTTCTACCTTCGAGCCTCCTTCGTGGGAGGCTGAGATCACACGCATGTACCGTCATGCCCTGCTCTTTTTAAATTATAATTATCTCTTCTAGGGCTTATCTTTGACCTTCCGCTATGCCTATTTTTTTTTTATTTTTAAACATTTGAAAATATGGGGGTGGAGGTGAGGAGGCGAGCACATGCCCTGGTGCACATGTAGAATTCAGAGGACAATTTGTGGGTGCCCGTTCTCTCCTTCCTCCATGTGGGACACAGGGATCGAACTCAGGTTGTCGGGCTTGGCAGCTAGTACCCTTGCCCTCCGAGTAGCTTTGTGGGCCCCTGCCATGCCTATTTTACTTATTTGACGTAGGAAATAGAATTTCTGAGTGATAGTGGCTGGATTTAGATAACTCATCTAACTTTACTTCAAGTCCAAGGTTCCGAGGTCTTATTCAGAACCTCACTAGCTTTATCTTCTGACTTTACTAAGCATGTAAGGGGACTCACTTTTACATGTTACTCGACTCCTTGCAGAATTGCTGAAGAAAATTAATTTGGTCTTTGTTTGGTTTTTAGTTGGTTGGTTTGTTATTGTTGTTTTGTCTTGTTTTGTTTTCCCCCGAGTGTTTCTGAGTGTGGGTATGTGCACATGAGCTTAGAGGCCCACGAGTCAGATCCTCTGGAGCTACAAGCTGTATCATGTGGCCTAGGCTGCCCTTAAACTGATGCTGCCAAAATGGCCTTAAATTCCTGATCCTCCTGACTTCACCTCCCATGTGCTGAGATTCTGGGTTTGGGGTCACTATGGCTGGCTTGAAGTTTGGTGATTCTGAAGACTCATTTTGAAAATGCAACATGAAACATGCTTATGTGACATAGATAGCATGTTGGCCACTTACACGTGCTAACATGGACCACCTCATTTCACAGCAAACCTATTATTCTCATTTCAAAGGTAAGAAAACGTGACCTGCCCAGGGAAAGTGATGGTGGGGGCTGGGATCTCAGCAGGTGGACCTACAGTCTATATGGAAGACTTATCCTGTATTTACCAGTTACAGAAACATAAATAACGGCTTAACCCTACCCAAAGGACTCTACATCCTCCTACAGAGACACTTGCTCATCTATGTTCATTGCTGCTTTACTCATAATAGCCAAAAAATGGAAAGAGCCTAGATGTCCATCAACAGATGAATGGATAATGAAAGTATACATTTACACAATGGAATATTATTCAGCTGTTTAAAATATGAAATTTGAAGGTAAATGGACAGAGATAGAAAAGAATCACTCTGAGTGAGGTAACCCAAACCCAAAAAAACAAACATCGTATGTTGTCTTAGTTAGTTTACTATTGCTGTCAAGAGACATTGTTGGAGAATATTATTTTAAGGTGTGTTACTTTTGTTTATGTTGCATTTGTTTAACTCTGTGAAGCTGTGCTGCTGTGCCTGTCTAAAACATTTGGAGGTCTAATAAAGAGCGGAACAGCCAATGGTGAGGCAGGAAAAAGAATAGGCAGGCGAAGAGAAGAAATAGGAGAAATCTGGGAGAAAGGGAGAAGAAACAAGAGAACAAAGAGAGGAGAACATCATGGCCCAGCCACCCAGCTACACAGCAAACTGTGGAGTAAGAAATAATGAAATGTATACAGGAATAGAGAAAGATAAAAGTCCAGTGGCAAAAGATAAACAGGATAATCTAAAGTTAAGAAAAGCTGGCTAGAAACAAGCCAAGCCAAGGCCAGCATTTATAATTAAGAATAAGCCGCCGGGCTGTGGTGGCGCACGCCTTTAATCCCAGCACTCGGGAGGCAGAGCCAGGCGGATCTCTGTGAGTTCGAGGCCAGCCTGGGCTACCAAGTGAGTTCCAGGAAAGGCGCAAAGCTACACAGAGAAACCCTGTCTCGAAAAACCAAAAAAAAAAAAAAAAAAAGAATAAGCCTCCATGTGTGATTTATTTGGGAGCTGGGTGGCGGGCCCCCCAAAAAGAGCAAAAACAACCAACAACAAGACACTATGACCACTGCAACTCTTATAAAGAAAACATTTAATTGAAGGTGGCTCACTTACAGGTTCAGAGGTTCAGTCCATTATGATCACGAAGGGGAGCATGGCATCATGGTGCTGGAGCTGAGAGTGCTACATCTTGCAGGCAACAGGAAGTTGACTGACACACTGAGGGAAGCTTGAGAAAGAGACCTCAAAGCCTGTCCCACAGTGACACACTTCCTCCAACAAGTCCACACCTCCTAATAGTGTCACTCCCTTTGGGGGCTGTATTCTTTCAAACCACCACTTATGTGTTCTCTTTTGTTTGTTTGTTTGTTTTTGTTTTTTTGAGACATGGTTTCTCTGTGTAGCTTTGCGCCTGTCCTGGAACTCGCTTTGTAGACCAGGCTGGCCTCAAACTCACAAAGATCCACCTGCCTCTGCCTCCCAAGTGCTGGGATTAAACGCATGTACCACCACCGCCTGGCCATATGTGTTCTCTTACATGTGGGTGTTAGCTTTTAAGCCTTTAATAAATATGTCAGTATAACCACAGAGTTTAGGCACAGAGTAAGCAACTAGGTGGGAGGGGAGGGTCTTCTTGGAAGAATCTCCCAAAGAAAGAGAAATAGAATATATAGTAGGAGAGAGACTGGCCGGGCGGTGGTGGCACACGCCTTTAATCCCAGCACTTGGGAGGCAGAGCCAGGCGGATCTCTGTGAGTTTGAGGCCAGCCTGGGCTACAGAGTGAGTTCCAGGACAGGCGCAAAGCTACACAGAGAAACCCCGTCTCAAAAAACCGAGAGAGAGAGAGAGAGAGAGAGAGAGAGAGAGAGAGAGAGAGAGAGAGAGAGAGAGATTGGGGGCAGGAACAGGAAGATTAAACAGAGTAGGAGAGAGGAAGGGAGAGGCTATAGGAGGGACAGCTAACCCCAGGGGTCACTTGAGTGGTCATATGGTACCTAATTACAGCAGAAGCTTCTTAAATACATACATACATGAAAGTAATCTAAATGGAATCACTGAATAGAAGGGGAAACAAAGCCCCAGCCAGACACCTTTTACCACCAAATGAAACCTTCAGCACCAGGAGTGGGTTACATCCAACTGACTTGTTGGCCAAAGCCCATGGAAACCCCCAAACAACCTGGGCTACCGTCAAGGCTAGTAGTTGCTGTCCACAGTTGATGGTAAGGACCTATTGCTGAACACAATGTTTACGTATTTCATTGAACACAGAGAAGCTGAACTAGCTGCTGGGTGCCTCGCTAGAACATTCACCCCCACTGACTAGTGTTCATGGTACTAGAAGGTCCTCTGTATGCTACCAGAGGAGAAAGATAACCACCAAAAAACAGCCACAAAACCATCGATCTACAGCCCTGACCTACCTGCATGGCACTCTGAAGTCACAGTGGTGGAGACATTGAGGGAGAAACCAACCACTATCTGACTGAGTTTAAGGCCCAGCTCATGAGATGGAACCCATGTCTGACACTGCTCAGACCAAGAACCTGAGACTAGAAAGGCCATGGCTGTAGGTGAAAACCAAATACTGTCATACTGTTTAAGGAACACAGTAATAAGATGACTCCTTACGACATTGTGCTATAGCCATAGATCAGTGTCTTACTCCATCATCATCAGAGAAGCTTCCCCTTGTGTGGTAGATGGGGGCTAACACAGAGACCCACAACCGGACAATGTGCAGAAAGTGGGAGACATTGGAACACTCAGTCCTAAATAGGATGTCTTCACCAACCCCTGCCCTCCTCAGGGCCTATGCAGAAGAGGCAGGAAGATGGTAAGAGCCAGAGTTGATGGAGGACACCAAGGAAAACCGTGTCTTCCTGACACAGCAGGACTGCTGCATGAGTGAACTCAGAGACTAACAGCGTGCAGCACAGGTTCAAGTCAGACAGGGTCCCAGTGCTGAGAGGGAAGTGTGATCTCCCATCCCTGGTCAAGATGGTATCTCCAATAGACAACTGCTTGCATGTGGGGGACCAGCCCCCACCTTTTTCAGGGTTCCTACCAGGAGGAGAGAGGAATAAGGAACTTGTAGATAGATTGTAGGCTTAACCGAGAGGAAGAAAGACAGAAACACAGGACAGCTTCGGGAGGACCCGGGTCAATACCCAACGGCCCAGAACTTTATTCAAAGGGGCTTTATATAACAATGCCACGGGGCGAGGCAAAAGACCTCCCCCTTGCGAGATAAAACCAAGTGTAGACCCTTCCAAACACTTGGTACCCAGGCCCGTGGTCCATTCATCCTCTTATGCAGTCCTGCTGGGTAAAGCAAGCTCAGATCTCACTAGGAAACCTCTGTGGGCTCCCACACTTGCAAAGGAAAAATTAGTTTTCTCCAATGGAGTCTCACTGTGCATATTAACCACACTTAATGGCAGGCCTCATACCCAGCAGTAGATAGATGGCCAACACAAAATAAACTCCATGGTGTTTTTGTAGACTTTTTGTCTTATATTGTTTTGTTTGGGCATTTTTTTTCATCTTACTGGTCTTTTGCTTGTAAATTATGGTTTCCAATTTTGTGTTTTTATGGGGCTTGTGTGCGTGCATGTTTTTTGTTTTTATTTGTTTGTGTTTTGTTTTTTGACTATTTGAGAAAGAAAGAAGGTACAGAGTTGAACGGGTGGGGAGGGTCTGGAAGATGATGGGGGAATGGGAATGGGAAACCGTGATCAGAAAATATTGTATGAATTAAAAAAAAAAAAAAAAAGCTGGTCAGGCAGTGGTGGCGCACACCTTTAATCCCAGCACTCGGGAGGCAGAGCCAGGCAGATCTCTGTGAGTTCGAGGCCAGCCTGGGCTACCAAGTGAGCTCCAGGAAAGGCGCAAAGCTACACAGAGAAACCCTGTCTCGAAAAAACAAAAAAAAAAAAAAAAAAAAAAAAAAAACAAACAAAAAAAAAAGCTGGACATGGGGCTGGAGAGATGGCTCAGAGGTTAAGAGCACTGGCTGTTCTTCCAGAGGTCCTGAGTTCAATTCCCAGCAACCACAGGGTGGCTCACAACCATCTGTAATGAGATCTGGCTCCCTCTTCTGGCCTGAAGGGATATATGCAAGCAGAACACTGTATACATAATAAATTAATTAAAAAAAAAAAGCTGGACATGGTGGCACATGCCTTTAATCCCAGCACTCAGGAGGCACAGGCAGATCACTGTGATTCTGAGGCCAGCCTTGTCTACATTGAGTTCCAGACCCAGCCAGGGCCACAAAGAGACACCCTGTCTTAGGATGAAAAACAAGATAAATGTGCTTTTTCTCTATGGAACTGTGCTGGGATTATGACTCCACCCAGTCATATTCTTCATGTTTTTTATATAAACCTTAAATATCATGGACTAGGGAGGTCCAGCCCCTTGATAGTCCCCTCCCAGGGTCTGGGAAGAATCTACAACCAGCTGATAATTAATCTTTGAAGAAAAGAAATGGGCTGGAGAGATGGCTCAGAGGTTAAGAGCACTGGCTGTTCTTCCAGACGTCCTGAGTTCAATTCCCAGCAACCACATGGTGGCTCACAACCATCTGTAATGAGATCTGGCACCCTCTTCTGGCCTGAAGGGATGTATGTAAGCAGAACACTGTATACATAATAAATAAATAAATTTTTTAAAAAATGAATCTATGTACACGAAACTCCTTAGTCCATACACTTTATTATTTTGTATCGGTTTTTTTCTCTCTACAAGCTTATACTCTGCTCTCATTTTTAGCTCCTATCTTGCCCAATTTCTCTTTAAATAATTTTTTTTTTTTTTTTTTTTTTTTTTTTTTTTTTTTTTTTTTTTGGTTTTTCGAGACAGGGTTTCTCTGTGTAGCTTTGCACCTTTCCTGGAACTCACTTGGTAGCCCAGGCTGGCCTCGAACTCACAGAGATCCGCCTGGCTCTGCCTCCCGAGTGCTGGGATTAAAGGCGTGCGACACCACCGCCCGGCTCTCTTTAAATTTATCTGTGTCCCCTCCAGGTTCTATCTTAATTCCTTCACCTAGTTCTGCCCCTTCTAGATTCTCATCCATCTTGTTCTTTCCCATATCACCTCCTCTCCCATCTCCTCTCTCATGTGTTTCTTCCCCATCTTGCTCTTCCCCATCTGGCTGTTCCTCATCTTCCATCTCGTTCTTCTAGTCCTCTCTTCTAGTCCTTCAACCTAGTTCTTCCCCATCTCAGTTTGTTCCTCTCAAGTTCTTACCCATCTAGTTCTTCCGTTCTCTTTTTCTCTTCTCTGTCCTCCAGTCCCTGGAAGTCCTGGTAGATATACACTTACAAGCAGTATTCCCTTAGCAGTGCAAAGCCAGGCTTCCAGGGTCAAATGGAGGGGTGATAAGAATCACATAGAGAGGCAATAACCGTTAATTATCATTTGCAACCCCAAAGGGAAGTGTCCAATGGGTAAATGGATTAACTAAAGGCTAAATTCGAGTAATATCTAAGAAGAGGGATCTTTTATTTATTTATTTACTTATTATGTATACAGTGCTCTGTTTTTGTGTATCCCTGCAGGCCCAAAGAGGGAACCAGATCTCATTACAGATGGTTTTCAGCCACCATGTGGTTGCTGGGAATTGAACTCAGGACCTTTGGAAGAACAGTCAGTGCTTTTAACCTCTGAGCCATTTCTCCAGCCCAGAAGAGGGAACTTATGTGCTTAACTATAGTCTTAAACATGATTAGTAGAAAATGTTAAGAATCTATAAGTTGCTAGGTCAATGGGAGAAAATAAAACTGCCTTCTTTTTTCCTGGCTCATATCTGTCCAAGCTATCTGCTGTTTTTCTGCAGGGTGGGGAAAGTGTGCTCTGTCTCTAGGCAACCTGTGTACAGCTAGATGCCTCTGGTGATAGTTAAAGGGAGATCTGGAACTAGAGGTAAGATTTGGGAAAGGAGGAAGTAAAGCTTAATTGGCACATCCGCCAGGCCTTCTCAAACAGGTAGTCTGGATGCTTAAGTCTGTTCTTAGAGAATACAGAGGTATCTCTGATAAGGTACCTTCCTCCATCTGGGGATGGACCTGGCCGGATGCTGCCAATGATGATAATTACAGGGAGGCTTGAACTGGGGTTCTGGCTGAGCATAGCTGTCAGCGCAGAAAGTTATCTAAATGTTCCTAGAAGTGGTTAGGTAAGGAGTTAAAGGTCTATAAAGTTAATAAGGCTGTAAGAAAGGAGGGTCTGAGCTAAATTGTGTAAAGCTATTACTTAACATCCACCTGACCTAGGCAGTGTCTCCTTGTGTAATTTACCTTTAATCAGGAGACTAGCATGTGGACTTTTATTACTGTTAGTCCTTGAAAGTGGCTAAGAGAGATATCTGATTCCAGAGAAAGCCTTTCCTGAGGCTGTTCTCCAAATACCTGGAATGTGTATGTCCAGAGAGTGATCAGTCCACACTGTTAGCCCTTCTAGGGAAAAGTCAATTGGGAAAACTATGAAGGCACACATGATTTTCATAACAGAAGACAGCTGATATATAACAAGCCAAATAACACCAAAAGCTCCTTGGAACTTGGCTTCCTCTGGAGGAAATCCCTGATCCCTCTAGGTAGTGACTTTGCCATAACCAGCTGAGTTCTTATGATACATTCCTGTGTCCCGCAGCACTTAACAGTTACCTGTCACCCACAATTTCCAGTTTGCTTCTTTTAAAAATAAAATTTTTAGATTTATTTCTTTAAGTGTATGAATGTTTTGCCTACATTTATGTCTGTGAATCACATGTGTGTCTGATGCCCTCAGGTCAGAAGAAGGCCTCAGATTCCCTGGAACTAGAGTTATGGATGGTTGTGAGTCACCATGTGGGTGCTGGGAATTGAACCCCGGTCCTCGAGAAGAACAACAAATGTTCTTGACCATCTCCCCAACTGCTCTCCACCCCCAGTTTTCAGTTGTTGTGTCGGATTACTCTGGACTCTTAGGATTTGGGTCACTTTGTGAAACCCTCCTTGCTTGTATCCAATTCAACAAAGCTTTTTAAAGTGATGAACCTTGACCTGGAGCCGGTGCTGGAGCGCTTGCTTAGCACATGCCCTGTTAGGCCCTCGGTCCCTAACTGCAACAGAAATAAACAGAAGCAACCAGAACAGTGACTTACGCTGAATGAGTCTTTTAAGGATCCAACTCAGCTTTGTAGAACAAAGCTTCTTTTCACACTTAGGTTCTGAATTCACGTTTTTAAGCTGAGGCTGAGCATTCATAATTAACAGTAAGTCTCCATGCCAGGATTTAGGGGCTGGCAGTCCAAGAAAGCCTGCTACACCCTGGTTGTTTTTTAAGATAAATCTCCCTATGTAGCCCAGGCTGGCCTTAAAGTGATCTTCTTGCCTTCTTCTGAGTGTCAGAACCATAGGCCTGTGCCAGCATGCCCAGCTCTCTCTTTTCCTCACATGCTCTTGTAAGGAAATACCTGTAAAGTGCTTAGGGTTTGGAGTAGGCTTAAATGTCCCATCATTATTGCTGCTGTGACCTGTAGTGTCCTGTAGGGGGCGGTAATGTCTGTTCTTTCATATCTTCTGTTGTATGTATGACATTCCTGTCTCCCACATGGAAAAGGAGGCACGGAGAAGGTCAGTGGTCCCAAAGTCACCTGAGCTGGGGAGTCATTTTTAGAACTAGCAAAGGCCTTAGTAGTAATGACATCCCAATCCAGAGAAGCAAAGGTCAGTGTTCACCATTCACTTTCCAGTCTTTTGTCTACTGAGTTAAAGACTCCCAAAGAGGAGCAAAGAGAATCTCAATGCTGAGCCAGCACAGCCCTTGGCCTGCTCAGGAGTGCTATGTCCATACCCAGCTGAAGAGGCTCCTCCCCCAAAGCCCCTAAATGCATCTATTGGGAAGTTCCTGCAGAGGTAAGGGCTGTGGTCAGCAGGTACAGGTCACATGATTGCGCAGAAGCCAGAATAGGTGCACATCCTCTGGGGGTTCCTCCCGAAGGCTTCCTTGGTCCACGTGGATGGCCTAAAAGAGGCAGAGGGGCTGCTGTGGGCAACTGGGGAAGCATAGGAGGCAGTCTCCCTGTTTACAGCTTCTTTAGGACCCTGCTTTTCCCAGGCCTGCAGGGATACAGCAGGAGCCTTTCTTCCCTCAACCTAATAGTGGTCACGCTCACCCCAAACCACCACAAGCTACGTCTTTTACCTGCACTGTCTGTCCTGCAGGCCTCTACCTCTCCCCTAGGACCTACCTATTGACTTGGAGCTGGTGGGGTGCTGTGAAGGCGGGGTGCTCCACTCCATTGGGACTGAGGCCTCCAGATGGAAGATGAGCTGTGGCTCCCAAGCCTGGATGGAGAGGGTTGGATACCTTTATCACAGGCCTCTTCATAACCAGGACAGCACAGTGGGAAAGAGGAAGAAGGGGTGGGGACAAGTGGGGTGGACGTCCAGGCATGGACTGGTCACTTTGTGAAGGATGCCTTGTACAGGCCAGGTGCTCAGTAAACACGGACCACCCAGTGGCAGTGGTCTGAGCTCCTGTGCCAGAAGGGAACACACTGAAAAGAACACGTCAGTGATTCAAGCCAGCTCACCGAGTAGCAAGGCCTTTGGGAGAGCCCAGTCAGAATCAAGGCCTAGCACAGTGCCTGGACATAGAGCACAGGGTTTGTGGAGCGCCCACCCCGAGTCTGAGGTGTTAGGAAATGAAAACCACAGAACAGGAGGGAATACACACACCTGGGAAGGGCTTGGAGGAGATGGACCAGGCCCTCAAGAGACAAGCAGGAATGTGGAAGGCTGTTGCAGGGGGCGGCAGCCTGGGGAGCCAGGGGGTAGGTGGCAGGCATGGGTGGGGGACGGGGAGAGAGAGATGAACTCCAGGGGTGGGGCATGTTCCTCCCACTCCCTCCACTCACGGTCCTGTCTCTGAGGTCCTACCGAAGAGGTCATGTTCACCAGCCCCTCCGTCTCTTTCTCCTCCTGGCCCTGTTCTGGTTCCTCATCTTCCCAACTACTGAAAGGTTTTCAGGGACAGAGGACTGAATGTGGCCCAGCTGTGGGACACCCCAGTGGCCAGCTCCCCACCCCTGACCAGTGAACCCTCTTCCACCTACCCAGGCCTGTTTGGCTCACCTGTCCTGGGCATCTCCTGCACTGCTTTGTACCCTGGCAGAGGTCCTTGCCACCAGGGAGGCCTTCCACTTGGCCTGCAGCCTTCCAGGAGCAGAGGGCTGGGAATGGGGGGAGTACAGAGTGTGGCATGGGGAAAATGCACACCTAGTTATCACACTGTCCTTCCAGCTGCCTTCAGGGAGCCACAGACTTCCTTGCTGGAGACAGCCCAGGAGGGTTCTGAGAATCAAATGCTGGAGTGAGGTCCCTTTGCTCTATAAAGGTCCATCTTCTAAAGCTTAGGTTACAAACTGGGTTTGCTGACCAGACCATAACCTGAGCATTACCCTGGCATACCTAGAGCCTCTCTGGTACTGTCAGAGCTGGTGGAAGACCTTGGCTGAGCCCAAGTCTTTTGACTTTCAATCCAAGCCCCTGCCTGTTTCAGGATAACGACCCCTACCCCGAAGAGTGGTGACTGAACTTAGGGCCTCTGCTGTGGGGTATTAGATCACACCGTGAACCCCTAGTTTGCGTTTGCGTTAATTAAATAAAATCAACCTTGGGTCAGGAGGCAGAGTAGCAACTAATTGACAGAAAGTAATCATAGAGAATCATAGGGTGTCTGTAAAAGATAGAGGGAGGGGCTTACTGCAGCTCTGTTCTGGCAGAGCAGAAGGACACCCTCTTTCGGAGACACCGGTAAAGAGAGAAGGTCATCTAGTTGCTACTCAGCCTCTCTGAGCCAGCAGGTTTTCACCCCAGCCTCTGACTCCCGAGTCTTGCTGGCAGATAGAACAATAGAGATTTAATTAAAAGCTATATTTGGCAGCAGTACACAGCCAGTACCTGTGGGAACAGAATTCCCACCAGGCCACAGCCTGAGCGGCCGGGTCACTACCAGAGAAGCAGGCCAGTAACTAACTGCACAGCCATACTTGCTGGCTAAAACAGCAGCAGATTAAAGCACAGCCTCCATGCCGATGGAAAAACAACAGGTCTCACATAGGCTGGGCAAGCATTCCACCACTGTGCGACACCCCCTGCTTCAGGTGAATTTAATTGTGCTCAAAGATTATACAGTGTCCTGGTCTTTAAAACGAGAGGGCATTCAACCCATTCAGTCCCTATAATAAAGCATACACTGCAATTCTTGGGGTGAGAGGAAGTTTCCTACAGAGGGAAGCATTTGGAGGGCCGATGACCTGTGGACAGAGACTAGGAAGCAAAATGAGCTGGAGGCAAAGTCTAGGGGGACCTGGCGCATCCCCTACCAACAATACGGCTCTTGGAACTTTCTTGGAGCACCACCCCCCTCCTGTGGCCATTTAGGGAACTGCATCCAAGGATCCAATTCTTCACATACATGGCGAAAAGGTTTCTGGCACTCAGCCAAAGATGTGGGACAGCCCTTGTACAGAAACAATCTCCGCCCACCTCCCTGTCCACCCCACCCCCCAACCTGATACACATGCATCCCTCATGCAAGCCCAGAGGCAGATGAACACAAGAACAGTTAAGTGTGGCATCCCTGAGAACATCCTTTCTGGGCAACTTGCTCCCATTCACACTTCCTGGTCTCAGGCATCACATTACCAGGATATGAGCCTGGGCTAGCCTCTCCTGAGCCAAGAAGGTCCGCATGGCATCCGCCAGCTTGGCCACCAGCCGCTCTCGTACAGAACCTGGTTCATGCTGGAGAGAGGGGGGCACAGTGGGGGGGGGGGTATGAGAACGGACTGGGCTGTGCAGTCTACAGAAAGAAAAAGGGACAGAGGAAAGGGCAAGAAAGAACTCCGCTTGCCTCTTTTTGTGCCCTGCCCCCATGCCCCGGTGCCCCCATGCTCCCATGCGGCCGAGCCCAGAACTGTGGGAGACTGCCTCTTCCTCCAAGTAACTGCCCAGGACCTGGGATGGATGGTGTTTCTAGTCGGTAACTAAGAGGTGGGGCAAGGAACAAGGGCAGCAGTGTCAGCCAGAGAAGGCTTCTGGCGGAGGGGAGGGCAGGAAGAGTCAGCGCCGCCACGGAGGGGCTCACCCGACACTGAGCCAGCGCTTGCTTATAGTATTTCAAGGCCTGGTCATGTTGTCCCAGCCTGGCTGCCGCCGCCCCAAGGCCCTCACAGGCCTGCCACTGTCCCTTCATGTCCCCTAAGGAAGAGAGCTTGGAAGACCTTCCTGTTCCAGACCCTTCCGGCACTGTGCACCCTTGCGCCCCGCCCCCAAGTTCCAAGCTAACCCCCCTCATTCTTACCAGTGTCTTGGGCAGCCTGCAGGGCATGCAAATAGCTGTCCCAAGCAGCCCTGTGGTCCCCCAGCTGGCTCAGTGAAAATGCCAGACCGCCAAAGCTCCGCCCTTGCTCCAGCCGCTGGCCCACAGAGCCTGAAACCAGAACACATCGGTTTGTTTGGGAACTTGGTTGCTGGGGCATGATGACCCTGCCCCCAACAAGGGAGGATCCCAGGTGTCCCAGAGCCTCAGTGCCTCTAGGTGACCTACAAAGGCCTAAACTGTCCAGGTTTAGCCTCTCTCACCTCAAGTTTTACCCCAAATGCCTCCCTGGCCAGTCGGAGCCAGTGAGTCAGTCGAAGTTAGATTACTAGTTTGAGGAGGGAAAAAAAAAATTCTTACTATATAGGACTGTCTGGTGGAATTCACAGAGATCTGTCTCTACCTCTAGAGTTAGGATTAAAGCAGGGGTTTTCCACCATACCCAGCAGGAAAAAACTAGTTAGGGCTAGGCACCCAGGTCATAGTTATAGCCCGGCTTATGTGATGTGGATGCTATGATTACTTTTTTATTTGTTTTTGTAGCGCTGGGAATGGAAGCCAGGGCCCTGTGTATGCCAGGCAGGCACTGTACCGCCGAGCCACACCCCAGCTAGCTGCCGTTTTAGTTTCTTTCCACATTTAGTTTTGTAGGTATGAGAGTGTGCACGGGTGGGACTCTGAGACAACTTCCGGGAATAGGTGTGCTCTCCTTCATCCACACGGGTTCTGGGGATTGAACTCAGGCCAGCATGCTTGGCAGCAAGTCCCCTTACCTGCTGAGCCATCTCACCAGCCCCTCATAGTCCCATTTTTATGTTTGGAATCTGAAGCTCAGAGATAGAAAATGGTTTGCTGTTGAAGGTCACACCCAATGGAGGAGATTCAGGGCAGTACTTATTCTCTCTCTCTCTCTCTCAAGACATGGTTTCTCTGTATAGCTTTGGAGCCTGTTCTGGAACTCACTCTGTACACCAGGCTGGCCTGGAACTCACAGAGATCCGCCTGGCTCTGCCTCCTGCGTTCTGGGATTAAAGGCCTGCGCCGCCACCGCCACCGCCGCCGCCGCCACCCCCCCCCCCCCCCCCCCCCCCACCCCCCCCGCTACTTCTGCTTTCTTAAACTACAGTCCCAGGCCAATGAGCCCTGCAACCTTCTGCTCCATCCCTTCTCCCACTTCAGGTGTCCCAGCGCAATAACGGATCCCAAAGATCCATCCGCCCACGGCCACTGGGCGTACAGCTGTACAGGTAGAGCTCCTGACCCCACTCCTCCAGGTTCCCCAGGCCCCTCCCAGCCCTCAGGACACCACCCGGCCTATTGGAAACATTTTAGTCTTTTTCTTTTTTGATGGGATACTGTGTAACCCAAGCTGGCCTTGAATGTGATGTGTAGCCAAGGACCATGTTTAGCTTCTGAGTCTCTTGCCTCTACCTACTGAGTACTGAATTCACAATGTGCACCGCTACACTTGGTTTATGTTGTGCTGGGAATCAAACCAGGGCTTTGTGTGGGCTAGGCAAGCACTCCAGCTGTATCTATCCCCAGTCCTGAAACCTCTTCTTAATCCTTTAGTCTGGCTCCACTCCCCAGCCCCAGGCACCCACCATGCAGATTGGCAGCCTTCTGGTGAAACTCCTGGGCTTCCTGATAGTTGCCCAGGACATTGTAGGTCATTCCAAGGTTTTGAAGCACTGTTGCCTGCTCTGCTGGCTGTCGACACAGGGGTAGGGCCTGCAGGAAGGCCTCTACTGCCAAAGGGAAGAGTTGAAGTTGGAAGTAACCCATGCCCAGATCATTGTAGAGTGGCCCTGGAGAGTACAGACAGCCACCGGTGGTCAAATGAACCATAACGAAGGCTGTACAGGAACAGCACCTGACCCGCTCCTCCAGCTTCCAGTCCCCTCCCAGCACTCAGGGTACCACCAGACTCAGGCTCAGCACCTTCCTCAGACCCTACGCCTTCTTTACTAAGACTCACCCAGCAGTCTCCGGTCAGTGCTCCGGTCAGCATCGGCAAGCTTACGGCTCTCCTCCAGACCCTGCAGCACATCACTCAGTCCATGTTGCCCACTGCTCAGCATACATCTTACTGCAGCCACCTGAGCCAGGGCTGCATCCCAGAGCTGGCCTGCATGGGCATAGGCCCGGCTTGCTTCCTGTAAACTGTAGGCTGCTTGCTTAGGCCATCCCAGGGCCTGGTAGCAGGCTCCCATTTTTGCCTGTGCTTCCCCATGGTCACCCTGTGGCTGGTAATGGCCCAGAGCCCTGCGGTACCAGTCCAAAGCTTGGGTCAGTTCACCAAGGGCATGATAGGCCAAAGCCACATTGAAATACTGGTCACCCCGACACCAGCCTTTGCACTTCCCTTCAGGACGGGCTCTCAGAAGTAGCTCAAGTCCTGTGGCCGGGTCCCCAGTCTCCACATAGGCAGCCCCCAGGTTGAAGGCACAGGCCCGAAGAACAGGGCTATCTCTGGTGGATGGAACCTTGGAGGCCAGCAAGAAGGCCTTCTGGAAGCTGCCCAAGGCCTCCTGAGTCTGCCCGGCCTGCAAGGCCCTGAGGCCAGCCCTGGTGAGGGTCTGGATGTCGGCTTCTGGCTGCAGCCGATTCCTTTTCTCCTTTTTCTTCCTGCAGTTTGAAGGTTTGGGCACAGGCTCCAGCTTCAGGTGGCTATCCTCGGGGACAGGGGAAGACCTAGGGTGGATTCCAGAGAACAGAGGGGTCAGCATGCCCGCCTTTGCTCTCCCCCTCCACCCCTCCGGGAAGATCCCTTAAGGGAAATTTGACCTCAGGGCACCAAGAGTTTTCCTCTGACCTCTCTTACCTTCCTTCCTGTGTCCAACCGGGCAGCATTTTGACTCCCACTTTTAAAAGACCTCTTCCTAGGTTCTTTGTCAGCACTCAGATCAAGTGGAGGCTGCTTCCTGAAAGCCCCCTTCCGTGAATTCAATCCCCCATGCTACAAAAAACCAAACACCAAACAAACAAAAGTCCCTGCAAACTTCTGTAATCTCATAGGATTTTTCTCCCAAAGCTTCCCTCCAAACCCCACCCCCAGTACGGGGGACTGAACCCAGCCTTCCAGACAAGCACTCTGCCTCTGAGCTGTACCACTGGCCTCATTTATCACACAGCCTTAGCAAGGTTGACCCTCTTGTATGGTGATATTTTAATTGTACTGAAATGTGATTTTATTTGTATGTTAATAAATAAAGTTGCCTGGGGGTCAGAGCTAATAGCAAGCCATAGCAGAAACTGGGCGTTGGTGGTGCACGCCTTTAATCCCAGCTCTTGGTAGGCAGAGCTAGGCAGATCTCTGTGTGTTCAAGGATACACCCAGCATGGAGACATACACCTTTAATCTCAATACCAACCATAGAAGACCTGGAGGTCTGTATAGATGGGCAGTGATGAGGAGGTCATGTGGTTGGGTTTACAACCAATGAGAAGGCAGAACAGAAAGTCTATATGGAAGACAAACACACAGGAAGGAGCTCTCTTGCTGAAGAGGCTAGCTGCAGCAGTGAAGGGTAAGGTTTTTAGCTCTGACCTCTTGGGCTTTCATCTCTGCATTGGCTCTGTGTTTCTTATTTAACAAGACCGTTCATCTACACTTTTGTCTTCCACTAGTCAGGGAACAAGTGGAAGGCAATTAGATTTCAATTAAAGTGTACTGAAGGGTTGGGGCTGGAGCAATGGCCCAGCAGTTAAGAGCACTTGCTGTTCCTGCAGGGGGCTCAGGTTTGGTTCTCAGTACCCACATGGTGACTGACAACTGCTTATAACTCCAGCTCCAGGGAATCCAAAGCCTCTGGTACACGTACATACACACACACCCCTATCTTTTAAAGCTTACTAAACTTTCAAAGTTTAGTCACTTCTGTGACTCCCTCTTCGGCTTCTGCAGGCACTTGCACTCACACACACACACATAATTTTAAAAATAAATATTTTAAGCTGGGTATGATGGTGCATGCCTTTAATCCTAGCACTCAGGAGGCAGAGACAGGCAGATCTCTTGAGGTCGAGGCTAACCTGGTCTTCCAGAATAGCCAGGGCTACACAGAAAAACTCTATCTTGAAAAACCAATATATGTACAATTTAAAACATCTTCAAGGGTCCAGTTCAATGACATTACATGAATTCAACTGTGCAGCCATGATCCCACATTCCTAGGGGATTTTCATCTCCTTTGGTCAAATTCTAAAGAATTTATGTTTGTTATTTTGAATTATGTATATGTGTGTGCATGTGGATAGGTGCACCAGAGGCTTTAACTGCCCTGGAGCTAAAATTATATAGGTGATTATGAGCTGCCCGATGTGGATGCTGGGAACTTAACTCAGGTCTCTGCAAGAGCAGAAAGTACTCCAAATTGTCTTTTCAGCCTCCTGGCCTAGTAGTCTTGAGGCCCAGGGTTTGAACCCCAGCATTTCCATTAAAACCAAATGATGTCATGGCAGCCCACATCTTTAATTCCAGCACTCAGGAGGTAAAGACAGGCAGATCCATGTGAGTTTGAGGCCAGCCTGGTTTACACGGTGTTGCTACATATAAAGACACTCTCCAAATGCAAAACCCAGCCAACTAAAAGCCAAACAGCAGGCACATGGCTACCCTCCCACCTCCTTCTCACTGCACCTGTGCATACATCTGCCCTCTCATGGTCTGGGTGCTGCTGCGTCTTTTTTCAGAGAGGAGGCATAAGGCAGGCCTCTTTTCAAAGAAATTGTCTCCGGGATTGGGGATTTAGCTTAGTGGTGGAGAATGGGAGGGAGAGAGGGATTGAGCGGGGAGGGAGAGAGGATGGGATGTGGGGGAAATGAGGGAGCATTGCTTCTAAAACACATGAAAGCCTGACTTGGCCGACTCCCCAGCCTTGAGGCATTCCCACTGTGCCCATACAGTCCTGGGGACCCCATCACAGGATTTCTCACCTCTGTGCTTTTTCCTCTGCGGTTGACTGTCTGGAATGGTTCCTCTGGTTTGGGTTACTTCTTACTAGCTTTTAGCTCAGAGTTGTGTTACTAGACACCTGGGCGCTGCTCTCTGCTCCCGGGCAATCCTCTGAATGACAGCTGTGGTGGCCTCTCTTAGTGCAGAACCTTGATGGTGCTCAGACACAGCCAGCTAAGGCCTACTCCTCTTCCTGCTCCGCTGCTGCTCCACTTCTGCAGACACACCCTTGAGTTCCTTCAAATAATCAAAGCGTCGTGGGACTATTAATCAATTATATCCACAAAGATCATCCGTCCCTTCTTCCCACTTCTTCTTTTTAATTTATATTTATTTTTAATTTTAAAGTAGGTTCACATGATCCTCTTTCCTCAGCCTCCTGAGTGCTGGGATTACAGATATGTGTCACCATGCCCTGCTCAGTCTCTCCCTTTCAAAGGGGAGGTGACAGGCCAAAGAGTTCCATCTGCTACAGAGTGACTGTAAGCTTTAGTGAGGCATAGACTATTCCAGAAGTGGACGTTTCCATGTGTGCACATGCTACCTTGCATACATAATTGCATACACATGTGCACAGATACATGCACACTCACATGCATGCATACATACATGCACACTCACATGCATGCATACATACATGCACACTCACATGCATACATAAATGTGCACTGAATGGCATGTTTACAGTTGGTAACAGGATGGCAGGTGATGCTCATAAGAAGCCTGAAGAGTAGAAGAACTCCCTTGTCCCCGGACTCTTTAACCTCCAGGTTCTGTTTAATGAGAGGACAGGAGGCCCCACAATAACCAGGACTCACCAACCCACCAACCCCTAACCCACCATCGATGGCTGCATCTGAAAGTAGATGTCCTCACTGCCTAGGGGAAAGTCCTCTTGGAGAAGAAAGGCCATGGCCAGAAGCAAACACATGAAGTAGTTATGCCAAGCACAGGTGCAGTGCGGTCTTTGGTGCAGGCCTGGTACCCGGTGCCATATCTGTGCTCCAGACAGGCTGAAGCCTCTGCTCTGACCTGGGCTTTCAGAGGCGCTAGCACAGCCAGTACAGGCCTGTTAGGCCAACAAGTCCTATATGTAGCAGGCTTCCCTTCAGGAGGATAATCTGGGGAGGGGCAGGGGCTGAAAGTGCTCTTAGCCAAAGGAGCTCCCCGTAACCAAGGTAATTTCCAAACCATTGTCCAGTTCCTTCTCTGTCTTGCCCACCACATCCTTGCAACTCCCTCTGTAATTACTTAAACACAGAATACCACTGAGAATACAAACAACAGGATGATCACAATCAACAAGTCCATTTCAGCAATGACTTAAATACCAGCGGCCTCAGTTCTCCAATCAAAAGACACAGACTGACTGAATTCATCAAGAAAAAAAATCCGTCTATCTGTTACCGCCAAGAAACACAGCTTTAATGATGGATACCATCTTAGGGTAAAAGGATAGACAAAAGTACTCTAATCAAACAGAACAGGAAGTAAGCAGGCATCACTGTCCTAATATCTGACAAAACAGACTTCAAACTAAAACAAGTCAAAAGAGATAAAGAGGAACATTTCATTCTAATCAAAGGAATGGTTAACCAAGAAGACATTACTATCCTAAACATGTATGCATCAAATTCTGGGGTGCCCAATTTCATAAGAAATCTGCTACTGGACTTAAAGACACAAATTAACTTCAATCCATTAATAGTTGGTGATTTCAGTACCCTACTTTCTCCAATAAACAGGTCATCTGGACAAGAAATAAACAGAGAAACATCATCATTAATTGACATCATACATCAAATGGACTTAACAAATATCTACAGACTATTTCACCCAAACATCAAAGAAAATACAAGAGTAGCAGTACATGAAAGCTTTTCTAAAGTAGGCCACATCTGGGACACAAAACAAACCTTTACAAACTCAAAAAGATTGAAACAACTCCTTGTATCCTATCTGAACACAATGCAATAAAACTTAAAATTGACAGCAAAAAAAAATCTCTTGCTGTGGGATGGTCTGTATGTCAAGTGTGTTGCTGATTGGTCAATAAATAAATCACTGATTGGCCAGTGGTCAGGCAGGAAGTATAGGCGGGACAAGGAGGAGAATAAAGCTGGGAAGTGGAAGACTGAGTCAGAGACACTGCCAGCCGCCATCAGGACAAGGAAGATGTAAAGTACC